CTAATAACAAAACTATTTTGGCCACTTTGACTAAGTTCTTGACAGAAACAACTCAAAATTTGACTTGAGAATGACTATATTTTCTCTGATAGCAACCAAATTTGCAAAATTGTACAGAAAACGCATTTCCTGTTGATCTTTAATTTATTTTGTTTTTCTTCTTGGGACTAGAAAAATGTGTTCAATTATTTTTCTTGAAAACAATCTTATGAAGCTTACCCCTCTACCTAAATTTATAATGCATAGTTTGAATTCTCAAGAGCCAAATCCTTTAATTTTTATCGTAAATTCAGGCATGAAGTCTTTAAAATTTTAAAATAAAATTTATATATTTAAAAACTATGTAAAAATTACTATAAGTAATAATAATTGATCCACAAACCAGTGGTCGCGTTTAAAGTGAAAGAATTAGAGTTTTTAATATTCACAAACCATCCTCGAAGGTTGAAATATCTTGATTAATCTCTAATAAAACACAATTAATTCCTAAAGAAATAGGTTACCTAAGGTGTCTTACTTACCAACATTTGGGTGAGAACTCTCTTAATGGCTATATTCCTTCTTCATTGGGGAATTTGAGCAACTTGTTTGGTATGTATCTTAATAATAATCAGCTTTGTGGCTCTATTCATGAAGAAATAGGTTACTTGAGTTCTCTTACTTATCTATATTTGGGTAATAGCTTTCCTAATGGATCTATTCCTGCTTCATTTGGCAATTTGAGAAATCTGCAAACTCTGGTTCTCAATGATAACAATCTCATTGGGGAAATTCCTTCATTTGTGTGCAATTTGACATCACTGGAAGTGTTGCATATGCCGAGAAACAATTTGAAGGGAAATATTCCGCAATGTTTGGGTAATATCAGCGGCCTCCAGGTTTTGATGATGTCACATAATAATCTCAGTGGTGAGATCCCTTCATCTATTTCCAATTTAACATCACTACAAATTCTAGATTTGGGCAGAAACAATCTGGAGGGAGAGGGAGCAATTCCACAATGTTTTGGCAATATTAGTAGCCTCCAGGTTTTTGATATGCAGAATAACAAACTTTCTGGGAGCCTTCCAACAAATTTTAGCATTGGAAGTTCACTTAGAAGTCTCAACTTGCATGGCAATGAACTAGAGGGGAAAATCCCCCAATCTTTAGCCAGTTGCAAAGAGTTGCAAGTTCTTGATTTAGGAGATAATCAGCTCAATGACACATTTCCCATGTGGTTGGGAACTTTGCTAGAGCTGAGAGTTTTAAGGTTGACATTGAATAAATTGCATGGACCTATAAGATCTTTATGGGCTGAAATCATGTTTCCTGATATTCGAATCATATATCTCTCTAGCAATGCCTTTTCGAAAGACTTACCAACGAGTCTGTTTCAACATTTGAAAGGCATGACCACTATTGATCAAACAATGAAGGCACCAAGTTCTAAAGGAAATCAAGTATACTACCAAGACTCGGTAGTTGTTGTAACAAAGGGATTGAAGCTTGAAGTTGTGAAAATTTTGTCTTTGTACACAGTTATTGATCTTTCAAACAATAAATTTGAAGGACATATTCCTAGTGTTCTAGGAGATCTCATTGCTCTTCAGGTATTGAATATGTCTCATAATGGTTTGAAAGGTCATATACCACCAGAACTTGGAAGTTTGTCTTTAGTGGAATCATTGGACCTTTCATTTAACCATATTTTGGGAGAGATACCACAACAACTTGCTTCTCTTACATATCTTGAATTCTTAAATCTCTCACACAAGTATCTCCAAGGATGCATCCCTCAAGGGCCTCAATTTCTTACCTTTGAGAGCAATTCATATGAAGGTAATGATGGATTACGTGGATTCCCCGTTTCAAAAGGTTGTGGCAATGATCCTGTGTCAGAGACAAATTATACAGAGTCTGCGCTAGACGATCAAGTTCTGAATTTTTTAATGATTTTTGGAAAGCAGCTCTGATGGGCTATGGCAGTGGGCTGTGTATTGGATTATCCATAATGTATTTCTTGATCTCAACTGGAAATCTAAGATGGCTTGCAAGAATCATTGAAGAACTGGAACACAAAATTATCATGCGAAGGAGAAAGAAGCAGCGAGGTCAAAAGAATTACAGAAGAAGAAATAATCGCTTCTAGACAAGTTACCAATAAAGAAGGATTTTTTCAGGTATTCAAGCTAAGTTTTACACTAATCTTTTTTAGTTTATTCTAACAACTAATATATTAGGTTTTATGCTTTTTTGTTATAAACAAAATACTTATTAACGCTTGATACGAATTGCTAGTAATCAGTTGGAAACTGTGATAACAGAGGCAAAAAATTTATAGTTGTGTGACTCACTTTCTTATTTTTTAAGCTATTTCAGATGCCAAGAATAAGAAGACATTGGCGTAATGGATTTGGTTCTTCCTATGTTGCAGCTTATGATGTTGGATTTGATTTTTAGTTTTATAAGCTTTTCTTCAGTTGGGAAAATGTAATATTATGAATTTTGATGATATACAATAAATGTTGTGTGTATTTAATGATGTGTATGCATTTCTCGGATCAATAATACTCACCTCAAAGAATCTTAGAGAGCTGAATGAATGGAGGAAGATATTTAGCGCACGATAGAAGAGAGAGAATATCTCACACCCCAAAGCTAGTTATTATGGTGGGAGAGACCAAGTTTTAATTTTTTGTGATAAGGTTAATGTGGAAACAGTGAGGTAGCATACAATACACCCTTGTGGTCCGGCCCTTCGCTTAGCCTTTTATTATACAAACAGGCTTACTCAAAGTAAACTGTTTTTTTCATTTGCATTCATCAATGATATTCCTTGTGCTCGTAGCACTTTGAAACTTTCATTTGCCAATTGCAATAATGTTATTTTGAAACATTTGTCTGTTCTATTTACAGATACAGGGGGGTATACTAGATAGATCAAAGTTGGATAATCTATATGAAGCAGCACTGGCAAGACAGAATCTTGTAAAATGACCCTAAAAAACAGGGAAGTTTCATATAATCTATTCGAGGTAGCTGATAATTAACAGGATGCACTTAATAGTTCAACCAACTCTGGAACAAATGCTGCACAAAATGGCTCATTACCATGACTATGGTGTACTCATGCAACAACAGGTTGCCAATATGACTCAATCACAACAACCGTTACAACACGAAGACCTTGATGATGCAGACAGCAAATGGCTATGTGCCTCTGCAACATCAAACTGCTTCTATGACTCAACATAATGAAGGAGAGATTCAAGAACAGGAAGCACAAAATTAAGAAAATATAGCTAATGTGCCTCAACTACAACTACAAATTCATGTTTGTGTTAGCAGTAAATGTAATCAGGTTATCCATCAAATCAAGATGTTGCTCTCTGTTCCATTTCCTAAAGAGCAATTCTTCCATCAATGGAAAAATATTCCTTACCAGGTTGAGAGATTCATGCCTAAGATTAATATCAAATGTCTTGAAAATGATTGGATATGGTCCACTACTTTAGAGATAAGAATAGAAAACCAAACATGTCTGTATCATACATTAAAAGTGGTCATGACCAATGTGTGATAACAGAACTATTATGGTCACTTTGACTAAGTCCTTTGCTGAATTAAATGTGTAACTCAAAACAAACTCAAAATTTTACTTGAGAATGGCCACATTTTCTCTAATAGCAATCAAATTTGCAAATTTGAAGAAAACGCATTTACATTCCCTATTCTTTTTGGGACCACAGATATGTGTTTAATTACTATTTGCGAAAACAATCATATGAAGATTACTCCCTCTATCTCAATTTATAATGCATAGTCTGGATTTTCAAGAGCCAAATAGTTTAATTTTCACCAAAAATTCAGGCATGAAGTCTTTAAAAAATTTAAAATAAAATTCATATATTTTGAAACTACAGAAAAAGTATTATAAGTCACAATAATTTATCCGCAAACCATCTTCGGAGTGATCGCGTTTGAAGTGAAAGAATTGGAGTTTTTAATATCCAGAAACCATCCTCGGAGGTTGAGATATCTTAATCTATCTCTAATAAAAAAACTATTAATATCTAGTTTTCTTGAAGGTCATTACCTATTCCGACAAATTCCACAAGATACTTCTTGAAGGTCATTTACCTATTCCGACAAATTCCACAAGATACTTCATCATATCAAAAAATAATCTCATTTATGAAATTCTTTTATTTGGAAAATCGATTTGAGAGTCATTGAAATTTAATTTATCAAAATATTCGAGCATGAAAAATTTGGAACTCTTGGAGGTCTCATAAAAATAAAATACCCTTTGCAACACGACTTTATTTGGCATATTCAAAAATCACCTAATTTTTACACATTTAATTAACAGGCCACCACTTACTATAAAATTACATTAACTCCTCGAAACCCATAAGTCTCAGTTGTTTGTGAATAATTTGTGTTTCAAATTGAGACGACAATAGTTCAAGTAGGGAAAATAAATAACTTATTATTCGAAAGCACAACACGCAAAAAAAGTGACATTCAAATTAAATTTTGACCATTATCTCTTAATTTTCTTTGCTCTTCATTAATTTGGCTATTCATTTTTCAAAAGCTCCACATCATCAGACATCAATATCTAGCAGGTCCCATAAAAATAAAACACCCTTCTCAACACGGCAAAGAAAGATTGAAAAATGACAACATTTACTCAAAGACAAAAACAAAACATGTGAGAGAAGACATTACGAATCATCGTAACGTCTAAGACTGAGAATTGTTGGATATGGTCCATTACGTAGAGATGAGAATTAAGAACCAGACATGTCTGTATCATACACTAAGGGTGGTCACAAATCAATTTGTGATAACAAAACTATTTTGGCCACTTTGATTAAGTCCTTGGCTGAATTAGACCTCTAACACAGAACAATCCAAAATTTGACTTGAGAATGACAACATTTTTTCCCTGATAGCAGTCAAATTAGCAAATTTGGAGAAAACGTGTGTCCAGTTGATTTTTTATTAGTATAAGTTACGTACAATATCAAATCCTATGAATCTGAAACAATAAACTCAAACTATGATGATGGTTTCTAGCAAAATATTCTCTTCACTTCAGTTTTTCACACTTTTCTACCTCTTTACAGTTGCATTTGCTTCCACTGAGGAAGCAATTGCCCTCTTGAAATGGAAAGCAACTTTCAAGAACCAGAATAATTCCTTATTGGCTTCATGGACGCCAAGTTCTAACGCATGCGAGGACTGGTATGGAGTTGTATGCTTTAATGGTAGGGTAAACACGTTAGCTATTACAAAGTCCAGTGTCATTGGTACACTCTATGCTTTTCCGTTTTCATCTGTCCCTTTTCTTGAGCATCTTAATCTTAGCAAGAACAATTTCTCTGGCACCATTCCACCTGAGATTGGTAATCTCACTAATCTTGTCTATCTTGACTTGAACACCAATCAGATTTCAGGAACAATCCCACCACAAATCGGATCACTAGCCAAGCTTCAGATCCTCCGTATAT